AAGGATTCCCAGAAACAAAAAAACAGGGCAAGCCCCAGTATGTAAACGGTTTTCAAGCCTCTGCCTGTCCCACATATCCTAATGTCCTGATTGGGCAAAACAAGTCAGATGGTAAAGCCCGGATTCAGGGAGGGAGAAATAGAATTTACTACTTGATTGGAGGAGCTACAAAATATTGGGATCATTTTTTCCCTACAAGATTTATTCATCACAGCTCGGTCTGTAATAACAACAAAAACAAACAGGGGCACCTGGGTGGCTCAGTCGGTTAAACAACTGGTTCTTGATTTCAGCTCAGGTCATGATCTCAAGGTCCTGGGATGGAGCCCTGCTTCAGGGCCCCGCTTCAGGCTCTGCACTCAGTGGGGAGTCTGCTTGAGGATTCTCTCCCTCTCCCTTTGCCCCTCCCCCAGGTCTCTCTCTCTAAAATAAATAAATAAATCTTTAAACAAACAAAAAGATTAGAGGACTAGAAAAAAAAAAGAGTAGAGGTCTTGTTGAATAAATCAAACAGCCATACAATGGGATAACAACGTAACATTTACAAAGGATGGAAAGGAAGAGTTAATGCTCTTGGAAAATGTTCTCCGTATAGAATTAAATGGGGGAGTAAAAGGGTTACAAAATCTCATTTTTGTGAAGCAAAAATATATAAAAGCCCAGATTTTAAAAAAGAGATCGGAAGGACAGCAACAATATGTTAACATATCTAATGATGAGATTACTTTTAATTTCTTCCTTATGCTTTCCTGAATATATAACAATTCTATTGTCTTGCACTTACCTAAGGACTTTACATATGTTAATTTAGTTAATCCTCACAATGACCCAATAAGATATAGTCTAGCAGTATCATTGTCCCTATTTTACAGATGAGGAACCTAAGACACAGGGAAGCTCACCAACATACCCAACATCACACATCGGGTAGAAGGCAGGTCCTTGATTTGATTCTAAATTCCATGCTCTTAACTAGTATTCTTTCTTCTAAGTCAAGTGACTTGTCTGGGACCAGAGTGTGATGTTTGGTAGATGGACTACATCATTGGTTTTAAACCTTTAAAAAAATCATCAAAAACTTTTTATTGCAAAAGTAATATACTCCATTAAGTATATGGAATAAAAAGATGAAATTCCACCTGTAAGGATCCCAGTACCATCCTCAGAGAAAACCACTATTAGCAGCTGAGAATGTATCCTTCCAGATCTTTCTTTTATATGCATTTACATACCTAAACACACAGTGTGTATGTGTGTATGTGTGTGTGTGTGTAGGTGTGTATGCATAAATGTGTGTGTATACTTTTTCCCCCATATATGAAATCACACTCTACAGTCATTGTTTGGTGACATTTTGGCAGGCTTTGGAGATCTTACCATGTCAATCCACACAGATCTGCCGTATTCTTTTTTGTGATTTATCAGACTCTGCTAAATAGAATGAGTCCCAGAAATACCCTCCTGGTATGGACTTCCTTCAACAGGGTGAGAGCAAAGGGCCCCAGAGTTTAAGGAAGGAGAAACATAGTCACCAAAGATGTAAAAAGATGAACCCAAAATATTTGTAAAGGTTGCATTTGTTTCCTAGGATTGCTGTAACAAAGTACCACAAACTGAGTAGCTTAAAACAACAGAAACTTATTCTCTCACAGTTCTGGAGGTGAAAAGTCCAAATAAAAATATGGGCAAGGGCGCCTGGGTGGCTCAGTTGGTTAAGCGGCTGCCTTCGGCTCAGGTCATGATCCTGGAGTCCCGGGATCGAGTCCCGCGTCGGGCTTTCTGCTCAGCGGGGAGTCTGCTTCTCCCTCTGGCCCTCCCCCTCTCATGCTCTCTCTCTACCATTCTCTCTCTCTCTCAATAAATAAATAAAAATCTTAAAAAAAAAAAGTATGGGCAAGACCATACACCCTGGGAAGGTTCTAGGGAAGAACCTTTCCTTGTCTCTTCCAGCTTCTTGTGGATCCCAGCAATCCTTGGTGTTCCTTGGCTTGTAGGAACTCCTATCTCCCCTTCCTCACATAGCCTTCTTCCCTGTGTGTATGAGTCTTTGTGCATCTGTCCTCTTATAAAAACATCAGTGACTAGATTCAGGACCCACTCTAATCCAGTATGACCTCATCTTAATTTAACTAATTACATCTGCAAAGACCCTATTTCCAAATAAGGTTACATTCTGAGGTTCCAGGTGGATGTAAATTTTAGGGGGCCCCTATTCAACCTACTACACAGGCCTAAAGTTTCCACCTGAATAAAAGTGCTTTTGACACTCAAGTGTCAAAAAGCATAGTATTCTGTTTAGAACATACAGATCAAGTCCACTAGGTTTTGAGAGACTTTCAGTTGAGAAATTCAATGCACTGTCACAAAAGTCCAAACAAACGTAATTTCATTTTAGCTGTGAAAATGAATTTTCATCTCATGAACAGTGATGCAGAACTTCAGAATTTTAAGTAGAGGATCACAATTTAAAGAACACCCCCCCCCCGCATTTTTACAACATAGCTGTAGCTTATATCATTCTGTATCTTTACAATTTTGTACTTAGGTCTTTTGCTTTAATCATGATCTACCACACACAACAGGGACAGGAATAAGATTATTTAAGAAGGAGCTAACCAAATGAATTCCAAGTTCAATGGTTATTTCTCCAATCTTTTCATTCTGGGAGTAGACAAGAGAAAAATTTCAGTTCCCCACCAGCGCTCTCATCTCATCCTTGGCAAGAACACTCATGGTCCCTTTAGCACTTTTAGTGAGGGACAGCTCATTACCTCCTGAGACAATCCACTTCATGTCAGGACAACAATTTCATCTACAAAGATGTCCTTAATGTAGGTTCTATCATCTCTAATGCTTCAGACTAGAAAACGGAGGTTCAGAGAGGTATGCATATTATGCAAACGGATGAGGAAAAGCTTGGAGGGATATCTATCAAAGGTTTCATGCAAGTTTCTGTATTTTCCTAAAATGTTACAAGTGAACGTGAATGAATTTTTTTTTAAGATTTTATTTTTAAGTAATCTCTACACCCAAAGTGGGGCTTGAACCTACAACCCAAGATCAAGAGCGGCACACTCCACTGACTGAGCCAGCCAGGCACCCCAAATGAATGTACTTTTTAAAACTATAATTATGGAGCCTTCAGTTCAAGGTCATACAGAAAGTGGCAGAGCCAGGATTGGAACCCATTTCTAGACAACCTCTAGTGGGGGTAGAATTTTCTGGACTTTCTCCTAGTGACCCTGAGCTTCAGCGTCTCTTGTCCCTCCAGATCTCAGGGCTCCTTTCATTCCAGCTGGGCCTCCAGGTTTGGCGCTCATCCCAGAGGGCAGGATGCAGCTGGGGAGGACTTGATAGGGGATGGGCCTCTAGGTCTGAGGCCTTGAGCGAATCTTGCACAGACGTATTCTCTGGCACTACTCCCGTCGCCAATCCTGGTCCCTGAGGGCAGCCACCATGGCATTAGCCTCTGCATCCCTGGGACTAACACTTGGTGAGGAATTGGAGGAAGGAGACCCAGCACCAGGCAGCTTCACTAACTGTGAGATTTGAAGGGAAGGAGGTAAAGCGCTTCAGGGACAGTAGAGACCCCCTCAGCCTCGGGTATGGACTGAATGTACGGGATGCTTATTATCCTAATCGTTGCTGTCGTCAGCTACGCCAAGTGTGGGACCTCCCCCCACCCCCAAGGCCAGTGATTGCGCCAGAGCCCCTGCGCGCTAGCAAGCAGGTGACGCGGCTGCTGACTGCCCGCTGGGGGTAGGGGAGAGAGAACGCTTTCCCGTCTGTGCAGCGGGAACTGTCACGTGACCCCCCACAACGCGGGCAGGCGTACCCTCTGTCCCTCGTCTTCTACCTCCGGATACCCACGGGCGCGCGCCGCGTCCTCAGGCGCTCCGGGCTTCCCCGCGTCACCTGCAGCCAGGGCGCCCGCCGCGACGCCACCATTCATTCCTCGTACACAGCGCGCGCAGCGCGAACCTCCAGGGCCAAGAGAACTGCGGTGCACGCGAGGCGCTTTGAGCTCGAGTTTCGGCGCCAGCAGCAGGGGTGGGGGGGTCTGCCCTGGGGCGCGCGCGTCGGCCCAGTTACCGAGATTCCTCCTAGGAGAGACCGAAATACACAGAGACTCAGGAGATGGTTACAGTGGCACGTAGGTACGGGGGCCAAGCATGGAGACATACAGAAAGGTAGAGACATTCCTAAGAAACAGAAGTAGACAGAGACTGTGACACAAAGAGATACGGGGCGCAGAAACAGATACAGACACAGAGAGCTAGACTGATACATAGATAGGCAGACAGACAAAGACCGGCAGTCAAAGAAACACTCCAGATAAACAGTTAAGACCCAAAGACCAATCCGACACAAACGCGCCAACCGCGGTGACACCACCCCCACGCCTGAGCTATTCTCGCGTCCGCGGGTTCGCCACAGTCCAGCGCACCTAACCGGTATGGGACCTTCCCCCCCCCAGCTTATTTCCGGAGTCCCCCCTTTCGAATGCTGTCCAGACTCCAGGCTTCTGGCCCCGCCCCGCCCCCCAATTCCCAGTTCCCCTTCCTCGCCTCTAGGAGCCTACTTGCCTGACCCTCCTCCCGCCCCTCGGGGGCCGGTCTCCCTCCCGCCAACCCCCCCCCCCCCCCCCCCCCCCCCCCCCCCCCCCCCTCCCCAGTCCCGCCTCTCCCAGCCAGATCCTGCACCCGTTGGCCCGTACAATTCGTCCAGCCGCCTCTCCCGCCTAGTGCAGGACCCTCCCATTAACGCTCCCAGCCCTCGGTTGAGTGCGGGGCGCGCTCCTGTTCCCCGCCCCCCTACCCCTCCTCTCTCCCCCGGCCGGTGTCCGCTCCACCTCCACCGCGCCCCGCCTGCCGCGCTCTGCGGCAGTCGGGCGCTCATCGTCATTCCGCTCTTGCCGCCGCCGCCACCCCCGCCCCCCGCGCACCGCCCCCGCCCGGTCCCCGTCACCACCTCCGCCGCCGCCGCCGCCGCCTGCCCAGCGGCCCGGGAGGCGGAGGCGCGGGGGAGGAGGCCCCGCTTGGCTCCGCAGCCCCGGATGCTGCATGACTTCATCCTTCCGCCGGCTCCCCTGCTGAGCTAGGGCCGGTCCGGCAGCTAGCCCGCCGCCCGCGCCCCGCCGCAGTCCCGCGCCCACCCCGCGCCCGCCATGTCCGAGATCCTACCCTACAGTGAGGACAAGATGGGCCGCTTCGCCGCCGACCCCGAGGGCTCCGACCTCTCCTTCAGTTGCCGCCTGCAGGACACCAACTCCTTCTTCGCGGGCAACCAAGCCAAGCGACCCCCCAAGCTGGGCCAGATCGGCCGAGCCAAGAGAGGTATGCGGCCGGGGCCCGGAGTCGCCGCTTGACCCAGAAACCCTTCGCCGGGCGCCCCCCGGCTGCCGTTCCCCGCCAAGCGCCCGCAGCTCTTGCCGCAGACCAGCGCAGCCAGCCGCTCGCCGGCCGGGGTTTGGGGGGGGGTGACCCCGCTGCAGTCTTGTGTCCCTCTCTTCCCCTCTCCCGGGAACGCAGTGCCCCGGATTCGATGCTCGCCACCTCTGGAAGTAGAGCCCTGACACCCGGGCAAGGGGGAGGGGCCGGCCGGGGCATTTGGGGCTGCCTGAAGTGGGAACGTGGGGCTACCGGCCGCTTCTTCAGGATCAAACGCTGAGTCGGTAGATGCTTCAGAAGAACCTTCGGGTGGGAAGGGACGTCCGATTGGAGAGAGGACAGGGGGGCCTGGGATTCGGTTGTCCTCGTTGTTTGCATGGGGAGGGGGCTCTGTTGGTGCCAGCATCGGAAGAGGGGTTCCAGCGGCGAGAGGGTTAGGGTGGAGAGAGAGTTGGACGAGGTGAAGATTCTGTTTGAGAAGGGGGTTCTGTTGAAGAGGGGGCTCCCACGAGCAAAAGGATGATCAGCTTGGATGGAAGAGAGCTCAGGCGGCGGGAGGGTTTGGACTGGGAGGTTGAACTGCTGGTTGGAACAGGGGGCGTTCCTCCATAGGGAGGGGAGGAGGGCCTGTGGGAACTAGGCTCGGCGGTGGGTCCAGTCGGCAGAATTCGGATGGGGAGGGCACTGTGGCACGGGCGTCCGAGGGGCGTCACTGAGCCACGGGAAGTAGCTGTTCGGGGCGCGAGGACGCGGGGCCCATTCTCGCCGCCGCCGCCCCCTGAGGCCGCGCGGCTGACGCGCTTTCTCCCTGCGCAGTGGTGATCGAGGATGACCGGATAGACGACGTGCTGAAGGGGATGGGGGAGAAGCCGCCGTCCGGAGTGTAGACGCGCCGGCTCCGGCGGCGGGCTCCGGGCCCAGCCCCGCAGCGGCCAGGAGCGCGGGCCGGCTATGCGGCTGCCGGCGCCCCCCGCCCCGGCCCAGGCGCCCGCGGGCGGGGGCTGCAGGGCCGCGCCGCCTTCGGGTTGGAGTCGCTGCCGCCGCCGCCTGACACTCCGGAGCTGTCCGCTTCAGCACCACGGCGGCGGCGGTAGCGGAGGCGCGGACCGGCCCGGAGCCCGCCGCCGCGCTCATGCACTTTAGAACCTCGGGCCGCAGCCCCACCCCGCACACCGGAACGGACACAGAGACCCGCGGCCCTCAGCCCTTGACCCGCCCCCTCCCGCACGGCTCCCCTGCCCCGCCCCTCTCCGGCCGGTCTGGTCTGCAGAGCCCGCTGCCGGCCGGTGTCGAACCGCGCGCGCAGCCAGGAATGTTTGGCTGCGTATTTGCATGAGCTTCCCACCCACCTGAGCCCAGCCCTCCAGGCCGCTCCCTCACTCCCACCCCTGTCTGGCGTGACCCCAGCCTCAGCCTCTTTCTAAGGGACTTCCTCAGCACATTTGTATTTTTATATCCGACTCTTTGTTTACTGGCTCCCCTCATGGTTCGTGCCTCCCCCTCCCCCCCAAGTCTCGGCCACGCTCTTCTGCGCCTGGCAGATAGGATGGGTGTTGAGTCTGAGATGGAAGGAGCCCCCAACATGGTAACCAACCACATGGTCAGTCTGCTCAGGCCTGACCCCAGGCGACTCTCTGGCAGACCCCTTCTCTCAAGGTATCACCTTCCAAGGGCCCAGGTCTGATTTTACCTTGGACCCCTGCATCCTGCCCCTGGGAACCCAAGTGAGGACTGCTCGGCACCTTTGGATGACACCCGTGGCCCTGGAGATGTTTTCAACCCAGGGGTGTCCTTTGTAAATGTTCCTCCATCCTCACTGTACCAGGAGTGTGTGAATAAACACAGACCTCCCTGCGTGTGTGTGACCACTGCTTTGGTCTGCTCAGGAGCCCGGCCAAAATGGCACCAACCCCTTCTGGGGAGGGGGCAGAGACTTGGGAGTCTCAGGTGCATGTTGCTGGCAGGGAAGGGTTGCCAAGTAAACAGGCAGGCCAGCCTGGCCTGAGAAGTTCATTGCAGTGTAGCTTCTTTGGGTAAATATACAATCCAAGCAGGATAGGAGACTAGAGTTGGAGCTGAAGCTGGGATCAGAAGCATTAAAGCAATCTTGATTCAAAGTCTGCAGCCTCCTTTGGATAAATCCCAGTTGAACGGGGGTCAATAATAGGCCCCAGGGATGCAGGTTTCGGAGTCTGGCTGGCATGTGGAGGGGTTGTGCTGAGCTTTGCCCTAGGGGATGAATCACTGGTGATTCAGTATGGTAAGGGAGGAAGTTGGGGAATCCAGGGAAAATCTGAGGAACCTAAGAAGGAAACCAGAAACCTGGGATCTGGGATCTAGTTTGACCTGGGCTGTATTGTTTCGTGTGGGGTTGCTCCCATCAGCTCTACCTTAGGCGTGAGCCTTCTGGGATTGTGAACACCTTGAATCAAACCCTAAGCCCTGAGTCAGGAATTCTTGAAGAGTCCAGGGCAGAAAGGCAGGGAGGGCCAGAGGACCATGCCTCCCTCCGGCCTCACAGCTGAATGGCATTGAGGAAGTCTTCGTGATCTGAGTCCTGGAGGAGGCAAGGTGCGGTGGGAGGTCTAGGGGGTGAGAGGACCTGGGTCCCAACAGCCAGCTGGGCTATAGTGAGCTCTCTACCTTTCTGCATGATGTAAAGATGGAAGTGGAAACCGCTGCCATAGGTTGCATGTGTCAGGGACCAGCCATATCGGGCTTGGGCATAGTGTCTGATCCGAAAGTGGGGAGCAGCTGAGGTCAATGAGATGAACCGGCCTCCATGGACCAGCACCCGGCTCACCTGCAAGGCAGACAGAGAAGTCACTGGTGAGGAGTCCATCTCCAGGTTCTCAAAGGTCAGTATGGCCCCAGATACCCTCACAGGTACCACCCTACATGCCATAGCTCAGGGCTCTCCATGGTAAGAGTGAGCCTCCTCTCTGCTCTTAGTCAATTCCATGGAGTAGGGCTATATTCTACCCAGGCAGGAGCATGGGAATGAGGTTAGGTGCAGGGGCACTGCTTTCCTGTCAACTACTCACTCTCCTAATCTGTGTTACCTGGCTGGAACCTGGCTGCTACCTCATCCCCGTGACAACCCAGTAGCCAATCATCTGCATCTGTGAGCCTGGCCACTCCAGCCCCCTATGATCTTGCCTCAGCTTAACCACCCCCTCCCTCAGGTAACTGCGGTCCTGAAGGTGACCCACCACCCGCTCCAAACTATGCCTCCTTCCAGCTTTTGAGTTCTTCCAATCTCCTGAAATCCCAATCCCTTCCTTCCCACCTCTCGGTCTGCCCTCCTCGTTGCTCCCTCACCTCACTTAGCACCTGGTCCACGGTGTGGACACCTTCAGAGGACACATTCCAGGGATCCCGTTCTCCAGCTAACAGGGCATCCAGCATGCCCTTCTCGAGCACCACATCAAAGGAGCCACTGGGGAAGTCCAGTGCTCGCACATCCATGGTCTCCCAGCGCAGCGTGGGCACATGGGCATATCGAGCCTGCATCGCAGCCACCACTACTGATGAGTAGTCCACGCTGGTCACATCAGGGAAGCCTCCAAGCAACAGCTCGTAGCTCAGGGCACTGTTCCCACAGCCTGGGGCGGGAAGGAACGGGATGGGTGGCACAAGGGCTAGGTTAGCTTTGGTTCTCACTCCCCCAGTTATCCATCCTCTCTTGGCCCATTTGCTCTCAGCCTAAACCCTCCCAATACTGAGGGAGAAGCAGCATGTACAAAAAAGCACGAACCTTGGAGTCATACAGAGCTGGGCCCATGGCCTGCTCTAACATTCCTAGCTACGTAGACTAGGGGCAAGTTGTTTTCATACCAGGAACTTAGATTTCCTATTCAGAAAAATGAAGATGGCAATACCTAGCCTACATGCAGGATGTGATACATTAAATTTAAAAACTAAAACAGCTGGAGAGTAGCTGAAGGAGCTCTGAACCTCCGAGTTCAAAGATCTAGATTCTGATATCTCTAGTCATACAGCCAAGGCAAGTCATTCAACTCTGAGCCTGTCTCCTCATACTCGGAATGGGGATACTACTGGCATCATTAGGACCACCACGTTATTATTAGAATACTAGTACTATTATCCTAATCCCTAACCTCTCAGAGAAACTTTGATGATATCAGCCCTGGGAAGACTTCATGTGAGGGCTTACTACCCTACTTCGGTTTCTGGGAAAGAATTAACAAGTGTAGGGGAACTCGATGGGGACACACAGTGGAGCTGATTCCTTGTAATTCCTTAATGTATTGAGCACTACATTTGGGTTCTGCAGATGAATAGGGAGCTCATCCTCTGGTGGGAAGAAAAGGTGTGTGTTCACGTGATTGCCACATAATGCAATGAGAGTTTCAATAGGGATGGGGTGTGGAAACACACAGGATGGCTCCTGTCCCCTCCTCTGGTGGGTCAGCCAAGGCTTTCAGGGAAGTTGACAACCCAATCAGAGTCTTGAAGCATCCTAACACTCTGGTGGGAAGTCCCAGGAAAGCAGTCCCAGGGGGCAGAGTATGGTGAGAGAAGGGGTGGAGATTAGAGGACGGGATGTGGATCCGCAACACAGTAGGTGTGACTTCCTAAGAAGGCATGCTGGCCCTCTTGTGGTCAGTCTCACCCTGGGAATGGAGCTGGAGGACAGTTCTGGTGACCCCAGAGGGGATCCCCGGCTCTTGGGATTAGATTGCCTTTAATCTCCATTTGCCTCCCTAAGAGGATCACAGGATCAGCTGTTAGGATAGCCCTAATCCAGTAGGGCTTGGCACCTGGGGGGGCGCCCAGAGGCTGCTGGCTGGTCCTCAGCTGCCCCTTCCCGTGTTCCTCCTCAGGCGCTACAGCTGAGGGACAGTACTATCTTGCCTGGGAAAACCCAGTTCATGTTTTTCCACACTGGAACTATAACAAGCCCGGGGAGACACACCACATGGAATGAGAGGTGAGGGTGGCTTTACAAGAGACCCTACGTTGGTTCAAGTTGAAATCCCACTGGGTTCTCTAACCCACGATCCCTTCACCATCCCACACCTGACCTCATATGCCCTCAGAGCTCTGCCCAACAGTGGACAAACCCAAATTTCCTTCCTTTGTTCCCCTTGGTACAGAAATGGCGGTTTCCAAGAGAACTTTACTAAGGATGAAGTGAGAACAAAACCTGACCTCAGAGCCAATCATGCTTATAAAGCAGTGATTTCTGATCCTGCTGCCTCAGTAATTGGAGGCTGGCAACTAAGAAGGGCCTTGGGAAGGTCACTGCCTTCCTGGGTGAAGCTTTAGGGAAGCAGAGCCCTGAAGAACTGAGCCACATCCAAGAACCCCTTACATGGGAGCCTAGAGCTATGTGGTTGCTATCCCAATACCAAGAGACAGAGGTGTAAGCCAAAATGCCAATTCATTAACTTATAATAGGAAAAATAACCATCATAGGGACTGAGTAGGCTGTCAATCCTCTCTGGTCAGTCCCTTCTCTCTCTATAGGAAATACAAATTGAAGCCAAATTAGGCTCAGAAGCATAGAATCAAACAAGGAGAGAGAATCAGAGTTGTGTGATACTGGCAAAGCTGGGACAGCCATACGCCTGCATCTGCCATGAAGATCTTCTAGCCATAGGTACCAGACACACAAGCCCTCAGGCAGGGTACTCTGTTCTCTGGACAGTCCTGGATAAACTGCCCCTGACTCCCATTTTCAATAATAATGATAGCTAACAGTCACTGAACACTGGGTTCTATGCTAAGCACTTTATAAGAATTATCTCAGTTTATCTTCAAGGTAGCTCCATATAGAAGATACTGTTATTACCATGTTCTCGATGGCGGGAAAATGAGGCTGCCCAAAGTGGATAAGGAACTTTCCCAAGGTCACACAATCAGTGGTAGAGCCAGAATTTGGATACAGGTCTGTCTCACACCAGAACCAAAGCTCTTAAACCACTATGCTAAACTGTCTCCCAGTTTTCAAGAGGTCTATCCACCTTCGGTAGTGACATTCCGTCTTTAGCTGCAACAGCGTGACCATTAGGCTTTCATTCACAATGTGGCCATTTTATCAGTCTCAACAGAGTTCACATGCCTCTCTATGCCCATCTGTGTTGTGCAACAAGAGAAATAGAAGCTCTGGAGTCAGATGGCACCCTTCACCACTTACTTGCTGCATGACAGTAGTGGACACTGTCAGTGCTCTGATTCGATCCCCTTGGAGTGCTCCTAGGTTTTGGCATGTTTGCTTCTGACATTTTGTGTCTCTGACACTTGGGGCTGAAACTACCCTCAGGGATGCTTTGCCTATGATCACAATCTTGCTTGGCCTTTTCCACTTCCCCGTTCCCTCTCTTACCAATTTCTCCTGCAAGCACTTTCCTAATAAATGACTGGGACATGAATCTTCATCTTAGGATTTGCTTCTGGGGAACCCAACCTGAGCAAGGTCACCAAATCCAGCTTGCCACCTGTTTTTATAAAGTTTTACTGCTACACAGCAGTACATAAGACATTCACTTATGTATTGTCTATGGCTGCTTTTCCAGTATAACAGCAGTACTGAGCAGTGGTGACAGAAACTAAATAGCCTGCAAAGCCTAAGATATTTACTACTTGGCCATTTTCAGAAAAAGTTTACCAACTCCTAACCTAGAGTAAGTCTTCTAATAATTATCACTCACCTCTATGGGTTGTTATGAGTACTAAATAAGAAGGGGCCCAGCACACTCCCTAGCACCTACCAGGTGCTCAACTTACATTTGTTGAGGTGGAATGTAACATAAGGTACTCCCAAGTCATAAGTCCTGTTCTTAGATTTGGGGAATCTTGCCAGGAAAGTTTTCCTCTGATTTTTAGATTTTT